ACTGGGAAAGCCAAGGGGGTCGTCAGGGCATTGACAAGCTAATTGATGTTATCGAGAGGCGAGCAAAGGTCCTCCTCACCTACATCAATGCCCATGGGATCAAAGTGATATCAATGAATGTGTGATGAAGATAAATCTTTCATAAATCTTTTAAATCTTTTAGAAGACATTGGGGCTTTATGCTCGAACATTTTGTAGGTTGGTTGGGATAAGAATAATAACAGATGTGTGACAATTTTTAAATTTATATCACAATAGCTTGAGATTTTGTCAAAGATAATTATGTGATATTAGAAAAATGAAATTTTTCTGATGTTTTATTTTCCATTATATAAAAAAGGTCATAGTTCCAATGAGGGACTTGCTAAAGCTTCTTTGAGTAGCTGGAAGCTCAGTTAGGGTTACACAACCCACACTACACTGATAACAATGACTTTAATGAGGTTTTTTTTTACTTTGTGTACCTTGAATACAATCTTATTTTGTTTTTTGTTAGTTTTTTTTTTTTTTTTTTACAAAAGTTAAGAAGCTTCGCCTTGCCTATAATTTCCAGTTATTTAGGCACTTATAGTCACAATTAGAGCATGGACACAGTGACTATAAATTATCAAGTGAAGATTAGAAGTCATAAAATGATAATGATGATGAAAAAAGTTTTTACAGGATTCCATGCACTCCTGTGAAAAACCAAGTACACCCTATAGTTCACCTTGTAGAAAGTTGCAGCAAAAATCTTGGACCAATGCTTTCTGATATATACGACATTAATTCCAGAAAAGTTGGAAGCTCTTTAAATGTAAATAAAAAAAGAATACAATAAGTTTTAGATCTAAAAAACAAAACAAAACAGATTTTATTCACAATAGAACATTGAAAGCATCAATGTTTAAATTGAGAAAATAAACATTTTTAAGAAAAACTTTAGTTCATGTTGAAATTGATGACAACAACACATCCCCCCAAAACTTAAGAGATGGTCATGTTTCACTGGGTCTTCTTGTGGTATTTTAGGTTTTAAACTGGTGAAATGTCTGAACTGCAGGGAGGCCAGTTCAGGTCCCAGTCTCTTCTAATACAAAACCATTCTGTTGTAATAGATGCATTATGCAGTTTAGCTTATACATTCAAGGCCTTCTATGTAAAAATGGGTCCCCTGAATGGGAACATTTGTCCAACTATATGTCTTTTATCACTGATAATGCCTTTTCAGATGTGCAAGCTGCTAGTTCTACAGACAGTGATCAGGGCCACTCAGTGATTTCAGGTTGCATCCAAAATCCTGTAGATCAGCAGTCCATAACCTTTTTGCACCACAAACCATTTTATGTCTGACAATATTTTCACAGACCGGCCTTTAAGGTGACACAGATAAATACAACAAAAAAACAGCACCAGTGTAAAAAAAAAAAGATTTATTCGTAACACATGGGGAAAGACCCAGGGGAACTGAGTTAACGATAAAAGCCATAAAAAAATGCTAAAAAATGCTAAAAAAAAAACCTAAAAACTTTAAATTTCACACCCAAGCCTCAACTCTTGCGGCCCCGTACCAAACGACTCATCGACCGGTACCAGTTCGTGGCCCGGGGGTTGGGGATCGCTGCTATAGATGCAAAACAAACCCAAACCAAAACCCCTCCATCACCATGACAGTTGGTAGTTCATGGTTGGTATGAAATGCTTCTCCTGATGTTTTTTACTTAGTTCAGATGTTCCAGATGTCCTGTAATTCGTTCAGATGTAACTTTGCAAACCTCAGCTGTGCTGATGTGCTCTTTTTAGAAGAAAAAGGCTTTTTTCCTGCCAATCATTCTAAACAGGTCATGAACATACAAGATTGTTGCATTGTGCTTATACAAATCTGAATGCTCCAGGCTAGGAACTTCTGCCTTTATAATGGTGGTGACACTTGGTGATGATCATTTAATCAAGTGCATTTGATTAGCAGCACCTGGAGGCTGCTTACCATCTTAATTCATTGGGAAGCACTAAGTGTACTCAGTTTTTCATAGTCCTGGGAAAGCTTTCTTTTTCACATGAGTGTATATGCACTATTATTTTAAATGTGATGTACTGATGCATTTATTTATTACTGTGCTTTCTTTTTGTATTTGGTAGTGCAATTCGAACATGGGTTACATCAATAAAAGTAATTACTGCTGATAGAGTTATATTTCTTGAGTGAGTTATGCATAAACATAATTATGCTTTACTGTGATTATAGATATGGTTTGAAAAGGATTTTGTCTTAGATAACAAAGCCACAATCAAAGAGTTATCATAATAACATTTAATCTATAACATTTATCAGCAATTGCATTTTTCCTACCTATTTCTACTTGATATCAATCAGGCCCCGACAGAAATAGTCTGTGGCACAGAAATCTGATCCAGAGTGTGGAGTGTGCTTTTCAAGCTGTTGTAAACACTATTCTTTGGGCTCTCAGAAATAGAGCCGATAGGGCTTTGTGGGCTATTTTCTCCTGTTCGTGCCTCGCATTCACTGTGCTGTTGTTTCAACCCTTTGCACCTGCATTAGTTTGTCAGTGGGTTTTATGCCTCTGGATGTTTGTCCAGTCCAAGAAAAACCCCTCCAGCAAGAGCTGGACGAGACAGTT